CGTGCCACTCAACAATGAGATCACATGTAATACCCATATACCCACAACGTAACATAAGTAGCTTAAATTTTTTATTATGTGTATGTGTGTGCACATATGTGTACCACGGTGCTTGTGTGGAGGTCAGAGGGCAACTTGTGGGAGCTTGTATTATCTTTCTGCTATTTGTATCCTGGGAATTAAAGTGGGGTTGTCAAGCTTGGTGGCAAGTGACTTCTTATCTACTGAGCCATTTCTTATAAAACCATCATTTTATAAGAGAACTGAAATCCCTATTAACCTTTCCTTGGTTGAATTTCCCTTCTTACCATAATATCCTCCTAGGCATATGTCCATAAACATGTTTTATGTGATTTTAAGTGCCATTTCTTATTTTAGTGTATCTATAATTTCCATTCTACCTGGTAACAACCTATCCAGAGCATCCCTGACCTCCATGCCTCATAGTAATCCATGCAAGCATCAGCTTCCAGAAGCCTACAGAAATCAGTAACTCATATCTATGACTTCGTGTTAACATAGGACTTGGTCAAGAAGGCACCCTGGAGTTCGAGTGCAGCCCCTTCTCCTTCTGTCAAACTCACTTCTGAGTCTCTGGCTCAGAATATGAAGTGACTTGCTCAAAGCTCAACGCAAACAGTAAAGTAGGCATGGGCCCGCCAGGGGCTTCCCATATCAGCTTATGGCTGTCAGGTTGTGCCTATCTGGAGGTTACTCTGAACATTGTGTTTCACACTGAGATTTTGTTAATTAGGAGCAAGTTACATTTAAGGGAAAGGGATTTAATAAGAGGTTAGATACCAATAGGTAGAGAATACGGGTGCCTCCACATAGCCTCTCTGCTGTAGTAAGGGTTTTAGAACTACATTCAGACCGGCTTACATTTATTGTGGCCTTTCCCATAATGATAGCTTTCATTTAGCAAAAGCAAACTTGTGTTCAAGCTAGGTCCCAGATGTGGAAATAGAAGCTGGTCTTCTACTCTTAGCCTCACCCCCTAATGGAGCCTCTTCCAGCACAGATGCAGATGCCCCCCGCCAGCCCATGCCATCTGGTGCACATCTCAATGTGGTGTTGCCATGCCTTCCCTCAGGCATCTCAACTGGATTGGGGTGCTTTTCTGGGGATGCTCGGCCATGCCCTCCCCTTCCTCCCATCTGTGCCCCTCTTCCTCAGTTTCAAACAGCTGGAAGCTTTAAGCAACCACCCAGGTCTCACTTAACCCTGAGCAAATAGGCTTGGTGGGGATGGGGAGCATGAGGGGCAGAAGCAGAAAGCTCTGGGGCTTACTTCTAAAATCAGGTATCCGGGCATCTTTGGAGCTCTGGAATAGTGTAAACTTCTTCCACATATGCAAGACTTTTCACCATGACAGACCATTGTCTGCCTGGTCATTCAGAAGTAGGTGAAAATGTCCAGTCCTAGTCATAGGCCCATAGTCCCAGCATCCGGGAGGCTGAGGAGGGAGGATCGAGAGTCCAAAGAATCTGGTATACAAAGTGAGATCCTGCCTCAAAAAAAAAAAAAAGAACCAGGAGAAAAGCAATATGGCTTACCTGCCACATCTCAATCATTAGTCAAAGCAGGACATTGGGGACGTCCCCTAAGCCAGCAGTCACTGCCCCTTTGAGAATTGAGCAACCCTGTCACAGGGATTGCATATCAGATATCTATATTATGATCCATAGATAGCAAAATTATAATTATTACATAGCAATGACATAATTTTATGGTTTGGGGTCTCCACAGCATGAGGAACTGTATTAAAGGGTCACAGCATTAGGAAGGTTGAGAACCACTTAAGCAACAAGAGACAAGCAGGGGGCACACTACTCTTGTCCAGGAGACTTGGACTCCTCTACTGCCAGCTCAGGCTGCTGACACAAAGCTTAAAGGGAGTTGATAAAGAACAGATAACTTTCTCTTCAATGCAATAGTATTAAGAGTCCTGCGTGAGGACCTGTAGAAGGAACCACCAAGGAGGAGCCAGCTCCCCGACAGTGACTGACACCTTGACCTTGAATTTGCAGTGTTCCAGAATTGTGGGCAACACTTTTCTGTGGCCAATTACTTTTTTCATTGTGGTGACAAAATATCTGACAAACACAATGTAGGAAGAAAGACACAGTCCAGGTAAGTGACCCACAGTGTCAGGAGCTTGAGACAACTAATCACACTAAGCAGGAAGTAGGACCAGACTGTAAATGTAAGGTCTGCCTTCAATGACCTGCTTCACCCAGCGAGGCTCTACTTTCTGAAGATGCCACAAGCTTCCACAGTAGCATCAACAACTGCAGGCTAAGTATTCAAACATACGGGCTTATGGGAGGCATTTAATATTCAAAAGACAATTACCCAAGCCTAATGTAGCTTAATATAGTTGATACAAGACTATGACAGAGAAACCAAAATGTTTGTTGATGAAATAAATGAATGGTACAATAGTGCACAGGCCAAGATGCCATTCCTATTTCCATTAGAAATAGTTTTTCCAGAGACCAGAGGGGTTTGAGACTGCAGGTAGGTGATCCAGGAAGGACCAACAATGGGGAGTCCAATTTCTCTGTGGACAGGAATACAAAGCTGCCACAAGGTGCACCCACTTGAGGAATGCTGTTAACCTCTGGTAACATGTGTCTTGGCGGAAGAGAGAGAGATAGCGTGCAAGTTAAGAGTTATCTTCACAAAACAAGTTCAGAAAGACCTTGTTCCCTGTTCCTAATGTCCCTCCAAGTGATGTAGAGTAGAACAGAAAGCCTTTCTGCTGGCTGCTAGTGCAGTGGAAAGCCCTTGTGGCAGGTGACCCAAGAGCTGGGGCTATCCACATACGCAGGATTCACATGGAAGATTCAGTGTCTGACGAGGACCTGGTCCACATTAATGATGCATTCTATGTGTCTTCAATATAGCTGCACCTGCTTTTAATGATGACTATAATTTTATCCTCTCTCAGGGAACAAAGCCAGTAAGTATACAACAAGAGGCACTGCACTGAGTGACACTATCCCTGCGGAAGTTAACAAACTAAGCTTTTGTCAAGTTTCACATGTTGGTACATGCTCTCTGGTGTTCAGCTTCTGAGGGGGGATAGAGCAGGAGGGCCCTTGGGAAGGATGGCATCAGAAGTAGGAGACACACGATGCAGATAGAATGATCCAACTTTTGTCCTTCTCAGTTTGGGACTGGACACATCCGCCCTGAACCATTTGCCAAGGAAGCAAGAGACTGGCTGCCTGTCTTACCTTGCTCTCTGTCACTAGCACTAGCCAGAGAAAACAAAGGCTTTGCCTGTCCTTCATGCCAGCTTCTCTCAGCAAAGAGAATAAAACGGCCCACTTACTTTTATCGCTCAGAGGTTTCCTGGGAAATGGACTATTAGTTCCCCTTATGTAAAGATAATAGGCTTGTCCCCTTTGGCAAATGGCACAGGCCCAGCACAAATGAATTCACATAACCATCATGAGACCTCCCAAAAGATGGCAAATGGCCCAGGAATGAGAGTAGGACCATCATAGGAACTTTGGAACAGCCTGAACCCCAACCCACCTGTGGGCAATGAGTCTGGAAAGAGCCCCTTCAGACTCTTGGAATCGTAACTTTCTTCTCCCCTTATCAGACAGGGTAGAGCATCAGCAAACAAGTTGTTTCTAGCCAAGACATGACAGAACCATGCTACCAAACAGGCTTTCCCAGTAGGATTCCTCAAGCCCTTGGAGCTCCCTGACAGAAAACACTGCACCCAAAAATACCATCGTTGCCTCTTGCCTGTGTTAATGTCTTTGAGGTGAGTGGATATGATGATACAGGTGGAAAACCTCAGCACCCTACAGGGGAAGGATGCTAGCCACGACGTTGGTTGGCCTATACTGAAATCAAGGGCCCTATAGGCCAAGGGTAGAGTGCTTCCCAGAAAACCAGGACTTACACTTGTTCCTTCCCAAGTCTCTCTCTCCATTTTCCTGTGCCCTCTCTATAGTCTCCATCTCCAGCCTCCAGTACTGAAACTTCTGTAGGAACAGTTCTATGGGGACTTCAACAGCAATAGGGGGACCATGGTTCTCAATAAGCAATCTTGAACTTATCCCACCCACACACAGTACTGGGCTTCTCAGCTCTGGTCTAGAGCTGTGCTCTTAGGCCCAGGTAGACAAAAGACCTGCTCTGACATATTCTGCAAGGCAGAAGCACCAGGGCATCAAGACTGTGTAGGCTGTCCTCTGTTGTCACAACACATTGCTTTTCCTGTATACGTCTCTCATCTAGGCTATGTGCTCCCATGAAGACACAGGGCCCGGTTGGTATTGTTTTGTTTTGTTTCTTTGCTTTGCTTTGTTTTTCTCCAAAGGAGCACTGAGTAATGCCAGTCAGGTGTCAGGAGGTCAGTACTATCTTGATTAGTCACAATGTGGCAATAGGCATAACTCTACTCAAGCTGGTCCCACGAGTGTGCCCCTTCTGGTCATTTTTCCTGTCTGTGGCTCTGTTAGATTCCTGCTATTCTGGGACTTAATCTGAATCTCTGGGAGCTCCAGGACTGGCCCACGCAATCGGTTTCCCTGCCTTCTCTCTTGTTCCATCTCTGAAGCTCTGGAGGCACAAAGAGGAGAGCAGGGACAGCCTTGCCAAGAGTTCGTGGGACGCTGACAGACTTCCTCTATTCTACGGAGGGTCTGTATTCTATGAGGAGAAGGGACAACAGACTCAAATGTCTTTCTGCTCTGAAGGAAGAGAGGCTCTGTCTAGAGCCACGGATACTTTCTCTGAGCCATGCTTGGGCAAAACTACTCCCCCCAGAGCTGGGGTGAACTTTGACCCGTCCAGAACTCTTGTAGTAGAGAATGATGGCGCTAGAATCACTCTGCACTTCAAAAGGGGACCTACAGGCTAGAGGGCATAGAAGGACCCAGACACCTTCCAACTACTTAGAGGTTCCACAAGAGGGATGAATGCATCTCCACTGAGGGGAAGTAACGAGAAAAATCGCTTGAGAACATGGAAGGTTCAGTCCAGGAGAAGTTTAGTGAGCAAAAGAGTAGGACGGGCCAGTTTGCTGGTCAGCCTCCTCCTCATTCTCCTCTTCTTCCGACTTCTCTCCTCCTCCTCCTCCTCCTCCTCCTCCTCCTCCTCCTCCTCCTCCTCCTCCTCCTCCTTCATCGTTTTGTTGGAGCTCTGAGGTGACAGCCAGTTCCTCCTTTTCCTCTGCCAGCTCTTCAAGCTGCTGCTCTGCCAGGAGTTGGCCCACCAGCTGCTCCAGGGCGTCCAAGTTCAGCCTCTGCAGGCGCTCCTCATGCTCTTGCCTCAACAGCCCCAGCACTGCCTTGGCATCCTTGGGCCCAAAATGTTTGCCTAGGACCTGGTCCAGCTGGAGCCACAGGGGCTGGAGTTGGTAGGTCTTGTCTAGTGCTGCCTCCTCTGGAGGCCGCATGATGACATTGATGGAGGCATTGGGTCCAATGCTGTAGTCCGAGAGGTGTTTGTCATCAGCCAGGAGCTGGCCACGGAACAGCAGGTGCTGCTGCTCCTCCGGCACCTGCAGGTGTTGAGAAACCAGCTTCTTCAGCGTGGCCACACTTTCTTTCCCAGACACCTTCAGGCTGCATCTTCGGCCCAAGAGCAGCTTGACTGTGAGGAACATTGGGCCAGAGAGAAATCAGGAGGGACCCATGCTCTGAGAGCTGCCCTGAAGGTGAAGGGCTCTATAGATGACCCTGTCACGAAAGGGCCACTGCTCCCAGCAGGGCAAGGGCCCAGCCCACATGGGCAGCCACTAGCTGGTGCACAGTGATGTCACAATGCTGTGGGAGGGTTCATTTCCACAGCAGAACTTTAGGGACAGCAGAGGGACAGACTGTAGACCTAAAGCATCTTTCCTTTATGAGAAAAGACGGGAGGGGGTGAGATGACCAGGAAGGAAAAGGTAGAAAGCTGAAACAGAGAAAAGAACTGGAAAAGGAACCATGACAACAGCATGTCTGCCAATTCTCTCAGCACATGCCTGGGATACCTTCTTGGTGTCAGCAGGAGAGACCACAGAGCCCCAGGAATTCCAGCACCAAAAAATAGGGGAGGACCACAAATCGTGTCTGTCTTAGATCCGTAGCCTCAAATTAATCCACACATCCTATAGATGCTTTGGCAATTCCTACCTGTGGGAGGGGAAAGTGCAGGCTCATGTAATCCTACAGCAGGAGGCACACAGCTGTGTCTTCATGGTGGCCTTGCCTTGCCTCCTAAAGCAACATCTACTCGGTATCTTCCATGTGCCAGGCCTTGAACAGACTCGGGTGCAGAGACACACAAGGAACAGGATGCTTGCTGGGCTTTTGAATGTTGCATTTGACAAGTTTCACTGCAACACATTGTCGATCTTGTGCCAAACCCTTCGCAGGTGTTGTCACGTGTTAGCCTGCAAGGACAGTACTGTCTTGGCTGAGAAGTGAGTGAGCCTGGAGAAGGGCTGATGTCCCTAACTGGTGTGCTGACTGCATCAGGGACTCCCGCAGGTCTTCCCAGCACACAAGCCCTCCCTTTCCCTCACCTTTCCCTCCACTGACTCTGAAGAGGATGACAGTGTTGACAACACAGCCTTCCTGAGTCTGTCCTTCCACAGACACCAACCCGTCCCAAGGTTGCTCAACCTTCACCCTGTACTCTGACCTTGACATCTACCAGCAGCTGAAAGAAGTACCCAGAGGTACCAGGACTGTGGCCTCCCCTCATCCTCCTCCTGCTCCTAGATTCTCACTCTTAGCAGATGACCCAGATTCTGGTCTTCGATGGCCCAGCACTCACAAGGCAGGAATCCTAGCCAATGAAGCTCTTGTTGTCCCTACTCTTCCTGAAAACCCTCCGAAGTTCACATCCTCTCTGGTCCCGCTGCCCCCAGTGACTGGGGCTCTTGCCTCCCTACAGCCACTGCTCTGAACTCACTATTTCTTCATCCCAGCTACACATTGGGCATACTCATTCCACAGCCAAAATGATGGTCCTAAAATTACTGTGAGTCCTCTAGGTTTAATTTTTTTGCTTTTGGAATAATAATAATAATAATAAAACCAAGCTTTCCTGGCCTGGTACCTGAGGTCTTCATGGCCTGGCCTTTTGCTCAGCCCCCAGCCTCACCACCTTCCCACTTTTCACACTTTACCCCAGCCACATCAACCTGCCTTTGTCCTTGCTTGTTTCCCCTGTTCAAACTCTGCAAGCTTATCCTGAAAGCGCCGTCTGCCTTAAAATTCACCTCCTCCATTAAGCCTTCTCTGCTTTCCCCCAGGATCAGGCAAGAGTAACCCTACATTCCTTTGTGAAGTCATTACTCCACTGGTTAGTATACCCAGCATGTACATTCCCATCTCTCCCTCTGACTGCAGTAGCAGGGGCTGAGTCTCTTTCATCACAATGTCTCCAGTACGCCGAGTTTTATATACAGATGGTCTTGTACACATATTTGTTAGCAAAAAAGATCCAGTTTAGACACACTGAGCCATTCAGGGTCATACAGGACCCAAGTACATAGGCTGTGGAAAGACATAAATTTGCTTACAGCCTCTCTTTCACCCTTTCCTCCCCTAGAAAGAGGGAAATCCAAAATTATATAGAAACTAAAATAGAAAGTGATACCAGACTTTACCAAAGGCTCTTCTATAATACTTATGTAAATAGCCAGGTCCCCAGGAGAGTGAGAAGTGAGTCTGAATTTGCAAGTGTACACACAGTGTGGGAGGGGCTGTGTGCTCCATGGTGGAGATGCAGACATCTGTGCAGATGAAAGGAGGGTAAGTGCAGTTTCTGAAGGGCTATGGAAGAGTCCACAGTCCCAGCTCGGTGATGGTGGCTCACGCTTTTAATCCCAGCACTCGGGAGGCAGAGGCAGGTGGATCTCTGTGAGTTTGAGGACAGCCTGGTCTACAAAGCTACACAGAGAAACCCTGTCCCAAAAAACCAAGAGGAAGAAGAAAGAAGAAGAAGAAGAAGAAGAAGAAGAAGAAGAAGAAGAAGAAGAAGAAGAAGAAGAAGAAGAAGAAGAAGAAGAAGAATCCACAGTCCCTGGTGGACAAGCCATTGGATACAAAGAATTGGAGCCATCCTAGAGAGATACCCAAGCAGAACTAACAAACCACAAAAGCTTCCTGGAGAGCAGAGTTCTAAGTGGGGTTTACAGGGGACAGAGGAAGGTGAGGCGGGGAAGGGAATAGCTTGTCCTCCACCCTAAGTGCAGAACTTCTAGGGAGACCTGGGGGCATGTAGGAAGAAATGAAGCCAGCCATCTGCCCAGCCTCTCCTCTGAGAACCATTTTCCAGCCTTGAACTACCCAGTCATGAGAAGTCTCTGGAGATGGCCACTAGGGTTGGGCTCCCCAAAATGAAGCACATGACAGCCCTAACACAGGCTCAGTTCTCCAATGCTAGTGATTATGTGTAGGCAGGTGCACCTATGACAGAGATTTTGGGCCCATGAGAGTAACAACTGAATTAAAATGGTGTCAGCGTGTGGGATTGAATTTCCACATAGAACGACAAAAGCTTTAAAGGAATTTTAGAAACAAACGAACGGAGAAAAGCATGGCTTCTTTGTAGCAGCATTTTTCTCAGGTGGGCTCTGTTTTACTAGCGACAAGCAGAGACTCATGCAGCTCACTTAAGGGAGTTTTCCTGACTCAGCATAAGCAAAAACAAAAAACAAAAAAACAAACAAACAAAAAACAGTAAGGTTCTTTTAAGAGACTCTGCTAACAATTAAAGGTGTGTACCTACAACTGGCAATGGCAGTGACCACATCTCCAAGCCAACAGCTTTTGCTGTATGTCAACATAGACTGAGTCAAAGAGCTAGAATCACGCTTACACCCGCCATCTTGGAAAAACTGCAGTTTAAACAGCCGAGGTTTTAACAGATAAGACACATGGCCAGAAAAACATAAAGATTTACAGTAATGTCAGACTTGGATGAAGAAAAATCTCTAAAGGTTTACAGTGTGTTTAAAAATATACGTAGGATTGAGAGAGAAAAAGAAACGGCATAGTGGTAAATAAATAGAGAAGCTGGCGCCAGAGGCAGAGGCAGAGGCAGGCAGATTTCCAAAGAGAAACTCAGTCTCAGAGAAAAATAAATAAAAGTAAAAGAAATAGAGTAATAACAGATAAATAAATAAGCCACGTAAAAGATGGAAAATACACAGAAAGTCTGGATACTGTATGCTATTGTGTTTTTCAGTTCTTTGATTGCTAACGAAGAAAAAACTGTTACAGTATACTTGATTATAAATGCTGCTGAATTAATACAACTTATATATTTCAAAAATGCTTTGACTTCTAACTTTAAATATAATGACAGGTTACTTGGGAAAAGAGTTTTTGTTTATGTTTCCACAGAAAATGAAAAGCTGAGGATTCCTTCCAGGCTTCTGTAGTTTGATGAACCAAGACCCCGGAAGCAGTGGGCCAGGTGTTCCAACAATTGAGACAGCTAAGATGATGCAGCCTTACAGACCACGAAAATAAGGACTTATACAGGTTTCTGAGTTTTGTCATGATCCCCATGGTAGGAACAGCGGGCTTCCAGCATGAAGCAGTTTGGAATGAACGATGTCCAAATCCCCATATTGTTTATAAATCTTTGTTTTCATTTGAATGGAGTTGCTTATAATTGGTTAATGATCACAACCAATCTCTTTTTTTTTTTTTTTTTGGTTTTTGTTTTTTGTTTGGTTTTTACGAGACAGGGTTTCTCTGTATTGTTTCGGAGGCTATCGGTCCAGCCCGGCCTCGAACTCACAGAGATCCGCCTGCCTCTGCCTCCCGAGTGCTGGGATTAAAGGCGTGGACCACTACCGCCCGGCACCAATCTCTTTTTAAAGGAAAAAGGGGATTATGGTATGGAAATGAGTACTTTGTATTGGTATGGTTTTTCATTTATTGATACAAATTCAAGGTCAATTTTGTGATGTGTATATTTCTCTTGATTAAGTATTGTGCTTATACTGATCTTTTAAAACGTAATGTATAATTAAATACAGACTATAGATAGTTACTTATAATAGTCAGAATTTACAGTTAGGTAGGTTAGGTTTTCTAGATATACAGAAATATATTTGAGATAGATAGACAGTCTTCAAACCTTTCAAAGACCTTCAGAAAATGGCATTTAAAATGGTTTAGGTTTTTTTCTTGACAATGAGAAATGTCTGCTCCTGGCATCACCAATTACGTCTGAGAGGAAGATGGGCATCAAAGAAACTCATTATGGAGTTTGCTTTCAACGTGGCAAGATTAGCCATTTGGGCAAGAAACTGCTCTTGACTGGACTGCTTGACTGTTGCTGTATTATCTGGACATGCAGGACCCATAGGAAAGTGACTGCTGAACTCAAACAGTCCTTCAGGGTTCCTGATTCATGGAAGAGTCTATGAGACTTTCTGCAGGACACAGAAAAATGATTGACAGACTGCCGATACGGATGGACATTTTGAAATTTCCTGCTCTGCTGAAAAGTCTTCCAGACACACTATGGCCTATGGGCTGAAGATGGATGCCCCAACATCACAGAGGAACTTCGAGTGACTGTCTATGTAGCAAGATGTCTCTGTCAGTTCTAGTGTCTATATATTATCCTTCTGTGGTCTTTGATGGAGTTGAAGACAGATAGTCATAATCATAGTTTTCCTTAGTTATGATAAAAGATAAGCTACATATAGGACTTTGGACTCACAAGGATGGGATAGATTTTCTTTAAATCTTGCTGAATGTTGATAGACAAAATATTGTAACTATGTTCTTACTTGA